ATCGGGCCAATCTTGGATCATATTATCAAGCTTTCCTATGGTGTTGCATTTGTTCTAAACAGATGCATTTCTCCCCTCCCTCCCCGCTCCCCCCTCAACCTGCCAACACTCATTTATGAGGAAACCAGGTGTCCTTCTTCAAAAAAGAAATAAATCCTTATCCAAAGGAATCTGTCCAGGAAGAAAGTAAATGCCCATCTCTGCTATTTTTATTTCAATCAGGAAATATGTTACCAAACAAACTACCAAACGGACAAACAAGAATCAAAACAAGAAAAAGGGAGACATGGAAATTCATAGGAATTAGGTTCTGAATTGTGCAAAGCCAAATGCTAATTGCACCAGTCCTCAAACGTACAGAACAGATGAATTCAAGAACAGAAAGAGCTCCAATGATAGCAGATCTGCTCTGGATGAAACATGTCCTGCATTGATTATGAGAAGGGCTGGATGCTCTTGTCTTTAAAGTGTACAGTTTGATTTTATATTAATTCATCAGCAGCATCACAGATCTCAGGGGCTCATCTCCGCTCATTATCGGTGCTTTGCATATGTGGCTGGAAAAGAACCACCGCTGATTTGTCTCGTTGCTGCTCTCTGCTGTTGCTGTGTTACCCTGCAGACCCCTCCCCACGTCAGGAGTGATGCTGGGTGCTGGCCAAGTCCCTGCAGGTGCTGAGTGCCCCAGCAAAGCAATGCAGGCCAGGAAGGGAACCCAGCATCTCCCAGTGAAGGTTCGGCTGAGCAAGAATGCAAAGGAAGCCCAAGTCCAACCAGCTTTGTGCACATTACCCTCTCACGAGCAAGAGTAGCTCTGTCCTGCCTTGCATTGTTTCAAGAGACCTGGCCGTTGAGGGCACAGCAAAACCACCTGGTGGGCAGCAGCCAGCAGAATCAGCAGCAGAACAGCTGGGAGACGCTCACAGCTGGCTCCCTATCTCTTACATGGAGTTTTTTCCACTCTTGTGAGCTCTTAAGGCCATGTTTTATATCCTAATTAAACTGAAAGAAAAGGAATTGGATAACAGTCTAAAAGATTTGCAAGCTACATCTATTTCAGAAAATGACTCATGTTCCCACTAGTGTAGCTCATCAGGTCCAGCACATGCTCTAATGTGTGGGACTAATAGATTTGTAACAGTGATATCTAATATGAGTCTGTTCCGGTTACATACTTATCATGGGTCCTCGCAGGCTTTCCATCAAAGCTGCTGAATGAAAGCATTTTTTTATTAAAGAAAAAGGAAGAGAAAAAAAAAAAAAAAAGAAATCTCTTTGTCCATAAATCTCTCAGCACATTAGCCCCCAAAACAATTCAGTGAGCCAAGGTCACATTTCCCCTACATTCATTTAGATCCTTGGGAAGTTCAATGAGATGAGAAGACAAGACAAAACACAAGGGGCTCTGTCTTCAGCTGCTATGAATCAGCGTTGCTTCCCATCAGCTGAGAATCCAACCATATATCTAGAGAGAGCTATAGGAAATATGTAACAATTTCTTTAGGTCAGGTAATGATGATCCATATGGCATCTTATTACTTGAGAAGGACGGGAGCGACTGCAAGGACAAATGGCATTTGGCAGGTGAGAGCGGGGCGTTCAGCCCCATGGGCAAAGTCCCCTTGCTCTCAGTGGGCTCCCATTCATCTCATGGTTTTGGAGGTCACCACAATTCAGCATGGGGGAAATATTTTGTAGCTCAGTTTTGTCTGCAGTGTTTCAGTGGGACAGCTCCCGATGCCCATCTTTGGAGGGAACGGGGCATGACAACTCGAGACACAAAGCAACAATCTTAAGTGAAATACAGCCATTATAAGGCAGCTCTGCCTCTCAGTTATCCCCCATCCGCTGATCCACACAGCAATGAAAGCTGCCAGCTCTGAGCCCTGTACCGTGTGCTGTCCCTTTGATACTGCAGCTCTCTCCTTCATGTTTACACCCTTCAGATATTTTTAGGCTTTTTTCCGCGCACAGAAGTACGCGTTGTCATCTCCTAGCCTCGTTTAGCCGTCTGAGGCTTCCCACAGAAATCAGTTTTTCCAAACATCTGATCATTTAGCCATCAGAAGGCAGAAAGGGTGGTCTGGTCACTCTCCTTTTAGCTTCCTCCCAGGTCTCATTAGCTGGTTGCCTGTTGGTGGCGGGGAACAAGCACATGGTTTGTTCTGAGGATGAATTCAAACCACGTAGGAAAGGACTGTTCCCTTCCAGTGGAATATTTTGCCTCCATGGAGGCAGATGACGTTATTTGCAGTAATATACTATTTCAGACCGATCTCCAATTTGTTATCTACTGACACCTCAAGGGCCCTTCATCCACCTCACCTGGAACCGGTGGAAAATAACTTGTCAAAATAGTTAATTTCTGATATAGTTGGAGGGAAAGGGTGTTCCCTGAAAGCACAACGTTTATGGTTTAGGATGACTTATTTTGGGTGGAGGAAGCTTGATTTTTTAAAATTGTTTTTACAACCGACATCGATTTTCTCCTCAGGGAAATAAGGTTTTAATCTGCTTCACCTTGAAACCCTCCAAATCTCTTATTTTTACAGGCTCTCTTAACTATTTTGGATAGCATCCCTGCACATACAACTATTTGGCAGGTTAACAGCAAGCAAATATCAAATGACAGTAACTGATTTGTGGGAATGGTCTGGTCCAACTAGACAGACAGCTAAGCACCAGGAAGTGTTCTGTTAAATAATTATGCCCATAAAATTTCATTTTCCATAGTGGTCACGTTATCCAAATCAGCTCCATGGTCCTTCCTTAAAAATCTGTCAGAACATACTTTTATCATGAAAACAAGCCACTCCAGAACATGAAATACAGATGCATCCAACCTATTATCCTGGAAAGGAAAAGCTATTGGGGCCAAATCCAACAAGACACCACGTTTGTATCTTAATTCCTGGAAACGTTTGGCTTTCACTTGGAGCCAGCAGTTCCTAGTCACTTCTCCCAGTCCCACCCACGCAATGAACTCCAAGATTTGGCAGGTAAGTATCAGTTGTTGACATGGGGTTAAGAAGTAGGGCAGTTGGGAGCAGCATGACAATTACCTGAGGTATGACAAGGTCTCCCACCTTCACCCACCTGCGACCCCAATGCTTCCCAACACAAAGAGCAGCTCCCAGGGCAGCAAATCTCACAGCCAGGACCTGACCATGGGTCTTCATTGGTACTCACCCATCTCTGCACATGACAGCTCCTGCCACTGTGAATTGCAGTCCTGTCTCTTTATGGGCTCCGTGGGTTACAGGGGGTGGTAGGTAACCATAGAAACCATGTTGTAAAACAGCATGGGAGTTGACGTGTAATAAAGCACTACACCTGAACAGAGCCCTTCAGGAAGGGTAATTGTGGATGCGCTTGTAACAGGTTGGAGCAGTGCTGTCTTGTGCAGAAAGTCATCCTGTCTGGAGAATAGGGTTTGGCACGGAAAGGCAGCTACCACTCTTTAATGCAACTTAAGGTCCTTAAATTAAGGCTCAGATACTTGTTTTCAGCTCTGGGGCTATGTTCACCCCATTCCTTTCCCAGCAAACCTAGCCAGGATTTTCTGATGGAAATCCTGGCTCTTCCTGGCTTACTGCAAAGGTAAGTTCATGGATAGAAGACACCATTCTGATTACACAGAAGTATTGAAGTACCATATATCCTAGGAAATGGTGTTCAGTAACTTACAGTAATCCTCAGAAGAAGGTCTACAGATCAGTATCATCAAAATATCAACTTACTTTCTTTCAAATAGAAATTGAATGCCAAAAGTGTTCAAACAGACGTGCTAGACCAAGGAGTCAGTCAGTGTTAACACCTGAATTTCTTTCAAGGAATTCCCAGGAATCTTACTACGCTATGGGGACTGTAAAAGACACAATTACAAAACCTATGGCTTCAGACTGAGAGGAGGAGCAGATGCTCTTCCTCCACCTTCATTATTCATCTGTACTGGGGACAGTCACCATCTGGACCTGAGATTTCAGCCAGCATTACTCCTTCTCTTGCCATCTACATTTCCAGCAACAGAAAACAGTGATGCAAATGCAGCATGGTCCTTATTGACACTATTTTCTGTCTGTGACTTCTCCTACACATGGTACATGATAATATATCATGTACAAAGCACATTGATCAATTCTATCCAAGCAGTGTCTTAGTCTTCAGAGCCAACAAACCAACACTTAATGTTTCCTTACTCAGCTTGTTTCACTGCAACACAAAACTTATTTTGCATCCCAGACAGGTCATTTAGCCCCCTGTGCAAGATGACTGTCAAAAAGATACTCACGCAGGCAACAGAAAATCCTGCCACTCGATGTTCTCAAAGGGAGATCTCCATCAGTTCAACTTTCCCCCTGTAGCTTTCCTAATAATTAATGGGAAACAATCCTCTGGGAAAATTGTCACCAGGTAATTAACAAAAAATGAAAATGAGAGAGCAAGAAGGAGGAACAGAGATGTTGCAGAAAGCCTGCAAATTGTAACAGGCGGACTTACAGTTGTGATTTCCTTCCCAGTCTCAGAGGGACAGTAGTGCTTGTTCCCAGGTTCATCAGCAGCTCACTCAGGACTCAGCTTCTTCTATTCACACTTTTGAAACAAGAGACATTGTGATGGAAATGTTTACACCTTGCCACACATCTCAATGGCCTTTCACATACAGACTTGCTTGCAGAGATAGGGGAATTGTTGTCAGGGACAGATCTCAAATATCCTGTGTGGTTCTATTACCAGGTGACTATTTAAAAATAGAGGTTGCTGTTTGTTTTTTACCTGTGGGTTCAAGTTGTTCAGTTTGATAGGAGAGGTTCATTAGAACCCAAAAGAAAGTGTCTTATCTATACCTAAACCTCATAGAGAAGTCCTTTGGCATCAATAACTCTGAAATGCCTCCCCATGAGTGAATGCTCTTCCTCACAATCAGGCAAATTTGTCTCACTTCAAAAATAAATAAATAAACAAACAAACAAAACGCAACAAAAAACTCTCACCTTTCAAGGTTGAAATTGATGTACACTTGGGAAACAGAGTTGAGAAACCATCACCAGGAATGCCCAGGCTCTACCTGCACTTTGCCCACTCAAGTGCCTGAACTATTGCATGTCCTAAGAGAAAAGAGAATAGATGGATGGTCTTATGATTAAGCCAGAAGACAGGGATTTGAGGGATCTAGTGTCACTTCTAGACCTCCAGTGTTGACTTTGGGCAAGTCAATTAACCTCTCTGTGCCTCTGCTTGACATCTGTAAAATGGAGATAAGAGATTTCCCTAAAGCACAGCAGCGTTTCAAGGAGACTTGTGTGTTTGACAGATGCTCTCACCTGATGCCAACAGGAGTCGTGAGATTTTACTGACAGGAGAGTGATGGAGTGGAGAAGACCTGCTGCCATTTGGGGTTATGTAGCTTTGTAAAAATTGACTAGGTATCTGTTCAGCTTTCCTCACCACCTCATTTACACCTGTCTGTCTTCCAAGGTACATCCACTCTCTCAACCACGCCGTAGCTCCAGTGCCAGATTTAGGAGCCCACAAAGCCCATAGGATGCTTCCCATCCTTCCACAAGAAAGGAGGTCAATTTGGATTTTTACCACTAAAATAAAGTCATGTGAATCACAGAAAAGAAGAAATGGAAAGCCTAGTTTCACCTTCCCCCTAAGAATGAGGATGCACCGGAGGCCAAAGGCTCTGATGCTTTGGGTCCCACTGCCCTCACACCCACAGAACATGCAGATAAATCCTCATTTTCCATGCAAGAGTCATCATGGCTGACCTGACACATTTATATCACCCACCACATTGCAGAACTTCACTGTTCACTCCAAACTCTTTACAGCCCTAGAAAGAAAGGAACATAATTTGCCTTTACTTTTTTTTGCTGTTTATTTTATTTTTTTTTAATATCATTTTAAAAAATGCATTCCTTTGCATTCACAAGGAATGCTATAGTTCCCCTACAAGCTTCACAAGGCAAGTTAAAGCATGAAACTCTCCTAGAGCCCACCTGACTCTTTTCTGCAAGGCTTAGAAGGAGGATTTCTTTCTCTCTCCATTTTTTTTTAATATAAAATCCCATAGCGTTATTAAAAGGAATTGTTCAATTCCTTTAATTGGCTCAGAAGATAAATTCTTCCCTCAGCCTGGGGGTCATGGCCATCAGCAGCTATTTATTAGCTGCACTGATTGAGAAGAACAGCCTTTAAATGGAAATAAATTGAATTCTATGGCAAAGCGGATTCCATACAGCCTATTAATGTAAGACAGGGAGGCTTAGCTGTTTTATTTTGTATTTGTTCCCCTCCTCATCTTTTAGCCATGCTCAAGCTCCCAGACACTTCCCATCTCTTCCATCAGCCATACCCTCCTAACCATGAGCACTCCCTTGCCTACAATTGCAAGTATGAAGATGAGGGAGATCTGGAGACTTGAATGACCCCAGTGAGGCTCCAAATCATGTCCCCAGAGTCCAGCCGAGGAAGGAGAGGTGATGGGGAGCAAGATGAGATGCCCAAATACATGCACAATAGAAACAAGACAGGAGCAGACCTCACCCATTCTCTCTGGGGCATTTTTATTTTAGTTTTGCCTTCTGCACTGCTTGGAGATTGTCTTTTCCACTCTCTGTCAGCTCCAGAATACATTTCATGGTACTTGCCTTCATTCCAGAGTTTAATTGCTTGAGATTGTTACTTGTAGACTGTTAATTTATTAAAACCAGATCTCCCATATTACTCCGGAGCCCAGAAGAATCACTGCCTTCTATTAAAGGCAGTGGTGCGTGCCCATTTGTCTTTTCTCTCTGGTCACCCCTGTAATTGCAGCTCTGTGCTAAGATGGAAAACTCCCTTCTACCAGCTAAGCATCCTCCTCAGGGTGGATGGGCTGAGACACACATATGGAAGACAAACTCACTCAGGGTATAAACAAGTATAACTTCTGAGATGTCCACAGAGGAGCATCAGAGACCCACAAAGCCTGTAAGTTCTGCAGGTCATGCTTCCCGAGGTGGGATGAAAAGTGAAGTCAGGGACTCGTGGAAATGGGTATCACATAAAAAGGAAATTCTACATAAAATACAACAGATCTCCACAGCACCCAGCAGAGCCAGCACTGCAAACCACTGAGGAATTATCCTCACCCAGCTAAGCATGGAAAGCTCTTTTTTGTTGTATGGACCAGGTCCTGAGACAGACATCTCCCAAAGCCATAGATTTGCAACACCTAATGGAGATACAAGCAAAGATAGGATTCATTGGATTCATATACTAGGAGATACATATACTCAACATGCGAGGAGGGAGACAAATTCAGGCCAGAAATTCCCTACTTCTTCTCTGTCACCATCTCTCCAATGTGTTCTCCCATCTCCCCAAAGCCGTTCAGCTACCTTCACCATACTCTGACCCTGACCTGTCTTAGAAAGTATTCCTTGGCAGCCTGTGCACACATCTTATCCTCTAGAACTGCTTGATAGCATCTAAACTGCAGAACCATAGAATAATTAAGGTTGGAAAAGGCTCCAGGATCATCAAGTCCAACCCCAGCCCACCCCCATCATGCCTACTAACCACATCTCTCAGTGCTTACATCTCCAAGGTTCTCAGACGCCTCTAGGAACAGTGACTCCACTGCTCCTTGGGCAGCCTGTACCAGTACATCATCACCTTTGCTGAGAATAATTTTTTCTTCATATCCAACTTGAAACTCCCCTGACCAATTTGAGGCCATTACCTCTTGTTCTATTACTATTACTTGGGAAAAGAAGCTGACTCCATAGAGGTAAGACAGTGTCTGAATCTATCATTCAAACGCATACTGAAAAAGGAGGGAGTCAACAGGCAAGTGGGAGACAGTAAAGCACCAAGTATTTGAGAACTGCTGAGTAGCAATGAGGGATGTCTGTCCCTCGGGCTGTTTTCTGAGATTCTGCTATCACAAGAGGCAGATTTCCCCACCAATACATCACAGGTATAAAGGCAACAACCCACACTGACCACCAAATGCTCCAAGAGGCACCCACAACACAAAAAGTGAGCACCTGGGGTGCTGCTCCCAGCAGCTGCAGCACAGCACAGGCTGAAGCTCTCGTTACCCACCAGCCGGCAATTATAGCAGTAGCATAACAACAGTAAAACAATAACATTTTGTTTACCTCCCTAAATAGTGAGCTCATTTTAGCACTCTGCCTCCAAGCAACTAGATAATAACGGGACACAAGACAGGCAGTCTGTTTCACCAAAACAGAGTGGGTGCATCTATGATGTTGGAGACTTTGAGAGTTGCTGCTCCAAACTCCCGATCCTGGAAGTGGTGGGGCTGCAGGAAGTGTCATGGCTGTAATTTGGACTGGGTATGGGGATTTCTTCAGGATGTAGAGTTGGGGCAAGCCAGACAGGCTGCTGTGATGCCTGTGGTCTGGCACTGACCTACATCCTTTGAAGCTCTGGTTCCTCGTTCCTGAAACTGCCTGGACTGGTTTGCTTTTACTTTGATTTATTTTAAGTACAAACGTTCCATGATCTAATCTGAGATCTGCAAGCAGGAGCACACAGCAAAAGATGGCACTTACAAAGATCCCAAAAACCCATTTCATTTAAACAGGGCTATTATTGTGTTTTAATATGGGAATTGATTATTATAGGCACACTTATTGAGCTTAGCAGCTTAGATTTGTATCTATTTTAACACTGTTAATCTTTGATAAATATGTTTTTAATAATCTCAAGGTATTTATTGAACATAAAACTGTCTTGTGAAATAGAGAGTGAGACTGCTAAAGATACTTATTATACACTACTTCAATACAAATTCATTATTAAAAACCTTTTACTGAGGTTTACTTTTAACCACAACATAACAGATGTCATACTGCACGGTTAATCTATAATAAATGTATTTCAATAAACTATTGGTATTTAATCAGCAGTAACCATCTTAATAAATATTAAGGACAAGCTGCTCCTTTAACTTTGTCACACACTTGGAGGTTACAGGACTTTATGAGAAGTAGGAAAGCTGTGGCCTGGTGAAAGGCTACTTATCATAGCTTTATAGAATCATAAAGGTTGGAATAGACCACTAAGCTCATCTAGTCCAATTATCAACCCACCACACCACCATACCCAATGAGCCATGTTCCTTATTTAGCAGTCCACCACAGCCCTAACATGCCCTGAGCGCTGTCCTCCTTGCTGCTCCAGCCCCAGATCTCCTGCTCGGCTCTCTTACATGGCTCTGCCATTTGATCTCAGTCCTGAGCTGAATCAACAAGTGGCCTCAGATGTTCATCCAATCCTGTGTGCAGAGCTGTGCCATTCAAAGGCTATTAATTCAGATCTGGGTGCCTGCAGACAACACTTTTTCTGCCCAATAGTTTTGCAAAGTAGATAGATACCCTCTGTGGATGAAGAGCAGAGCAGAGCTCATACCCTTAGAGTAGAAAAACCACAAGATTTGTGAGAATATGGATCAACAGGGAAGTTTAAACAAGGTGATTTGGGCTTTGAACTCAGTGAAGGGCAGTAAATGCCTTTGACACATGGACTAAACAGGAGTCTGACTCCAAGCCATCAGAGGCAAAAGACCCGCAGTGCTGCTCAGACCCCCTGGTGTGCTCCCAGAGATGTATTTGTCATTCTTTGCATCACTTAATGACCGAGGTTAGTCACAACTGGCAGATACACAAAACATTTCACTCCCAGAACTAATCAAGTGGGAGAGGAGCAGTAATTTCTCCCATGTCCTCTCCTCTGGGTCCTGCCCCATTTGTTATATGGCCACAGTTACAGGCCTTATAATCCTTCCTGCAGGCCACCAGCCGATTCCTATATATCAGAGAGAGCCAAGGATCTTAACATGCAACTTTTAATTGAGCTGCATCATCTGCCACAAACATGAAATTAATGGTCCTACATCATAATCGTAAATTCATACATAACCTCATGCACCAGCAAATAACTCTTTGCGGAGATACTACAATGGTAAGCTGATTTGCAAGACACGCACGCTACCCAGGAATCCTAATTAACCAAATTAACACCATCACTTCAAATCATGTCCCAGCAGTAGGACATTTCCGTTTGGCCTCGGGGTTAGAGCAAAGCAGCC